GCAATCATATAGTCTGCAAATAACTATTATCTTATCAATCTTAATTTTTTTCTAATCACTTCTGGTGGCGCAATTTTTACTCCAAAAGCTCGTGCGTAGGCTTCCATTAAATGCTGATTATCTCGAAAACGAGCTCGGGACACCCTATTTTTCTTTACAGATTTGGAATCAGCATAAAATTTCAATTCGGAAAGTCGAAGTTTTAAGAAAAGCTTAAATCAATTTCCAAAAGTAGGCAGTCACCTTAAGTGAAGTAAATATTAATTTATTAATTTATTAATTTGAAGCCGGTTTTTATTTTGCGGTACACGGAAGGATTCCAAAAAAATATTTTGTAACACTGAGGCTTCACGTACATGAGCGAAGGGTGATCCAAACTGCTTCAACTACGGCTAAGGTCAAACGGCGATTTTACACGATGAACTGAACTTAATGACAAAAAAGACCCTCCCCCACTTAGTGGCCAAAAATGAATAATTTAGCCCTAGCAGTAGTAGAATCACCCTATCTCCATGTATGCGGAGCGTAGGAGATCCAGGAAAGTTAACCGGGCTTCCCCAACGCCCAGGTACTATAAATAATAAGTAATACGCTTTAAATTCTAGGTTTCCAGGGGTTTAGAACGCATGAGTTTTAGTGGGATATAGGGTTAAACTTGGGATTAGATCTTYATAAGATCTGTGTTGAACGAATCACTTGGTTCGTAGGAGTATTAAATTATTAAATTCTTTGAAAATAAACATATTTCTGTTCTATAACATGCTCTCTTCTCAACTATTTTAAGACACGAAATATATGGCGATCCTTCAGGAGCGCGGTGGCCTGCATAAGGGAGGGGTGGGTACAGTACAAAGTCCAGCCTAGCAACCATATTTTTCACCTTGAAAAAAATTTAGTATTACACTGAAATGCATAGACTATGCATTTCAGTTTATGCAGTAAGATCGTCTAGAGATTTACCAATCTCGTACCCAGAGCCTGCGTTTCTTCTGGCCTGCGTTCTTTGCCGCAGGCCAGAAGAAACAGGCTGCGGATAAGACATTGGTGCTTTACCGAATTTTATCGATGCCCTCGCAGCGAATTTAAGACGAAACGAGCAATCTCGTATCCTGCGTTTCTTTCAACCTACGGCAAAGAACGAGGGCTCTGGCATAACGCATATTTTGACGCTTACGCAGTTTTCCGGAAGTGAAATATAATCAATGAAAATCATGCTTTCAAACAGAGTTCTTTGTTTACTTCCGATCAAAATAAGAATTAGAAATCGGGAACATATTTTTTTATTTTTGGCAAGTCTTTTAACGTATGCGTTCTTATACCGGAAGTCCAAAGAATCCTGGTCACAAAAAAATGGATTATGCCAGAGCCCTCGTTCTTCGCCGCAGGCCAGAAGAAGCGCAGACTCGGTACGAGATTGCGAAACGAGTAGCGGAAAGAGACTGGTAAGAATTGTAACGATAATCTTTTCTCCGTCTTTTTAGCATTTTGTGCGCGCGCAGTTTTTCATTTATTTTTTATGAATAATTAACAAATTTACGATGGTTGAGCGTGGTATGTCCTCTTATTTACCACGATATGACGTCAAAAGTTGGTCAAAATGTTATGGACTCACGAGGCGTAAGCCGAGTGGGTCCATAACTAATTTTGACCAACGTTTGGCGTCATATCGTGGTAAATAAGAGGACATACCACGCTAAACCATCGTAAATTTGGTTTTTACTACAAAACTCACAAAACTCTAGGAAATAGACTGCACGAAATCTTGCATGACGCCATTTGTTGGTATGGCCTCTTATTTACGATGTTTTTTAACCAATCAGCGCGCGAGAAAATTTACAATTGTGGTAAAATTTACAATTGTGGTAAAAATTAATCATCTAGTATAGTTCAAGAAGCGCGTCCAGTTTTGTACTACCAGTAAGATAGCAAAATAAACGGTCCATAGCGAGTAAAAAATATCAATACAGGCCATTGAAACAGATCTTTGTGTCCGCGCGCAAAAAGATTTAATGATCTATGCAAATTCGAAAAAGGCATTTCCGAATTTAATGTTTTAGAGTAATATCATAATATTAATTATTTTTTAATGCTGTTTTCGGATTATAAATTGATCGATTCCATAAAATTCACTTCTTATTTCCGCTTTCCCCACAAATGCCGCAGTGCCTAATAAATATCAGTAAAAAACCGTGAGCTATCTGAGCGATCACACGGAGCAATTTTCTCTACAACTTGTCTCGCAACGGCGTTACGACACAAGTTGCATGGAGCATTGCAACGTGTAACCTACAGCGCATTTAGAAACTGAAAAATGTTGCAAGACAAGTTGCAGCAATCGTTGCGAAAAGTAGTTCGTTTCTACTTTTGGCAACGATTGCGTCTTCGTTGTACCGTCTTAACACTCTTGAAATTTTTGTCGCAAAACTGTTGCAAGACAAGTTGCAGAGAAAATTGCTCCGTGTATTCGTGCCTTAAGGATGTCGTGTTCCCATATAACAACCATGCATAAAATACACTCATCGACCCGGTCTTCCAGCTAGTTATATTTGGTTTATTGCAAAAGTTGCATCATTACTACATGTGACAGAGTCAAAAGACACTATTTTGGACAGTAATTATTTAGTCATAAATCTATATTTTTAATTAGGAATGCCTCGTGTACACATAGGAATGTAATTCTTTAGTTAACTGTTTGCGTGGAAAATGCGTAAGCAAGAAATAATTTCCGTACGTAATTACATT